CTTTTGTCATGGCTTGGTTTATTAATAAAAGTTCTTCAAGAATGACTTAAATTTGACTATATTTGCACAAATTTTTTAAATAAGACGAGTGATCAAACTTAAGGTAAAAAAATCAAACATCGTATAATTTAGGACGGAGGGAATAACATTTACCATTGTGGATCAAATAGAGCCTAAATCTAGATGGATATAACGAGGACAGGGCCGCCATCTGGATTCAGGAGGCAAGCACACCGTGCACGGTTGATTTAGGTCTTGTTTAGTTTCTCCGCGTAGAGTTTTTTAAGTCACGTCGGGTGTTATACGGGGGTGTTGTATGATATGTTCGGATATTAATACAAAAATAAATTACATAATCCGTCTGTAAACCGCGAGACGAATTTATTAAGCCTAATTAATCCATTATTAGCACATGTGTTACTATAGCACTTTATTGTCAAATCATGAATTAATTAGACTTAAAAGATTCGTCCCACAAATTAATCGAAAAATGTGCAATTAGTTATTTTTTAAGTCTATATTTAATATTTCATACAGGTGTCAAAACATTGATGTAACAGGATGTAAAGAAACAAGGCCTTATTTGTGGAAAAGAATATTAGAGTCATTTTTTTAGTCCATAAGTGGCAGGATTCGAGTATAGTTTAGGCCTTGTTTAGATTGTAAGTTTTTTCACTCTCTCTCAATCACATCAAATCTTTGGACACATGCATGGAGTATTAAATATAGATAAAAAAATAATTAATTATATAGTCTGATTGTAAATTACGAGACGAATCTTTTGAGCCTAGTTATGCCATGATTGAACAATAATTGTTAAATATAAACGAAAATTCTACAGTGCCAAATATTAATTCTTAACCCAATCTAAACAAGGCAGATACAGAATTCAAATAGTTTGGCCTTCTTCATCTCGAATAAAATAAGCTAGCAGGCTAGCGGCAGCAGAGTTTGCCCACTGTGACCATCGGCAGCTTCCAAGACTGAAGCTGTACAGACTACACAGGACAAGTCTCGATCATGGAGAGCAGAGCACTGCCATCAAATTAATTACAGAGGCTGGTTTGGCACTGATGGTTGTCTTCACTGCACAATTTTAATTCCCTAGTTCTTCCGGAGGTACTCCCTCCGTCCAAAAGAATGATGTTTTTTTATGTTTAGACATCGTATTTGATCATTCGTTTTATTAAAAAATTTATACAAATTATAAAATAAATTATAATTAAAGTATCTCTAATGCTAAAATAAGTCATAACAAAATAAACAATATTTATATAAAAAAATTGAATAAGAAGGATGTTCAAACAAGATATCTGAAAGTAAAAAACGATACTCTTTCTGAGACGGAAGGAGTACAATACAACATTATTGTTGAATCGGGGCAACGGTACAAGTTTTCATCCGAACCATTTGGTAGTTGGTCATATAGCAAATTTTAAGGATGATTTTGTGGTTGGGTGTGGGGGATATGACCTTCGGTACCCACGAGACAGGACATGGGCCGCGCCATCCAAGATGGCTCAACCCATAAGATCAAGGCGTGCGCCGTAAGTTATGATTTATTAGATAGTGTACCAAATAGAATATTCACCTTATAATCACACCCCTCTAGAGTATATAAGAGGGGCAGGGGTCTCCTAGAGGGCAAATCCAATATCAGATCCCAATCTCATACACAATCAATATAAAATAACAGAGCATATGACGTAGGGTTTTACGTCATGCTGATAGCCTAAACCTGTATAAATCTTATGTCTTGTGTCTCTGTTATCATCTCGCTCATGTTCTCGCTCACCTCTCAGAACAAATCTATCATCTTGGGCTACCCCTTCGTGGACTGCTGAGCAGGTTTTGTCGACAGTTGGCACGCCAGGTAGGGGTGTGCACTTGATCCATGGCGAGCGAGATGGTGTACCTCAAGATCAGCATCATCGTCATTCAGCATCGCTTCTCCGAAGGCCGACCAGCTAACGATCTCTCCGAATCTGGTCTGCCTAAGGCCGACCAGCGACATAAGGACGACATCGCCTGGGTTCGCTGCCCTGACCGCCCAGTCGCAATAATGAACGCCGCGAAGAACGGCGCAATGATGATCGTGACAAGCTGGCAAGCTTGAGGGCCGGGCGATTACGTCGACACCGATCAGATAATGTCACACACAGCCGACCAAACGTTCTGACTAAAGATAAGTATCCTTCTTATATCTACATCCAATAAAGTTTTCTCCATGGTTTTTCTTCAACTATTACTTCTCCATTCATTCTCCATGATAAATACTTTTAAAAAGCTCTGCTCACGTAATATACTCCATCGAACTCGCCAACCAGCCACGTTCTCACTCGCATTATCCAGAAGTTGTCCTGTCCTCGACATCGCTCCTACACGTGCACGAGCCACGCTCTGCGTTACGGATAGTCAGCAGCGGCTCCTTGGCGGCGTTCTCTCTCTTACGCGTACACGGGTGCCGGCCACTCCGCACTATAGAGTTTAGGCTAGTCGGGGCTGGTGACGCGATGACGAACCAACTAGAAGGATGTCATTCATACCTTAAATATGAACAAACTCCAATGTTTATTTACTCCGATCTACTGCCTTCGTCGCCGAGTTCATATATTCTATTTTTACATCATGAACTACCCATTCTACATATTTTTATTTCAGGGGCCTGTTTCGGTCAACGAGTTTACGCTCGGGGACTGGATCAGTCAGGAAGGACCAGAGGATCATCATCCGGATGATTACATCACTTGGCACTCCGTGCGTACTCACTTCCCTACTCGGATTGCTCGACTTTCACTTCGCTACAGATCAGCTGCTCGGCGCTCACTTCACCGTTCGTCGGTCTCTTCTACTCGTCGCTCACCTCACCGCCGACCAGTTGATCGGACTGCTCGGTCTCCCAAACAGTATCATCACCGACTTGGGATCCACTTTCACCGGACACCATTTTTGAGATTTCTGCAATGACCGATGTATCTTGGTCAAGTACGTTTCAGTCACCAACCCTAGAGCCAATGGCTAGGTTGAATGGGCAAACAACATGATTTTAGATGCCCTCAAAAAGAGATTGTATCAAAAGACTGAAGCAATGCTCATGCTCTCCTCGTCGACCAGCACCCGCCAGCTGAGCTGGGAACTCGCTTCATCGCCGACCAGCGTCCGCCAGCTGAGCTAGGGACTCGCTTCATCGCCGACTAGCGCTCCCCAACTGTGCTGGGCACTCGCTTCATCGTCGACCAATGCCCACAAGCTAAGATAGGGACTCCCCTGGTGGTCGGATTTTGCCACGTCTTCGCTTCACTCCGATTAAAGCTGGTGTGCTATTAAGTTGCACAATGCTGTTCGGATTAGGGTGCTGATCCTGGGCAGCATGTCGGGGACCTTGATAAGTGCATTTCAGATTTACTTTTTTTTTTTGACCCCGCTACAAGATTCATTCTTCATCTTCTCGCAGGGTTAGGGACTAAGTGGCTACACTTCACCTAGCGGTGAATGTAGTGCTTCTCTACTGACTTACCCTCTTTATCGACTAAGGAGACTAAGTGACTACACTTCGTCTAAGGTGGAGAATTTTTTAATTTTATCTTGAGCCCCTTACATCCTTCTAGCAAGCATCACTTGGTAAAGTCCGAGGTATGTCAGTCAGTTAAATAGCTCGGCAACTGTCTCCACAGCTCGGCTGGGTGATTAAACTGGTCGGCACACATTTTCACCACCCAAGTCACCAGTCGAGCTCGTCGGCTTTTATACCACCGCTTGGTTCGTCAACTAATGGAGATCGGCTTCGCGACAAACTGCTCAAGCTTGATCAAGACAGCATCGCCAAAGGATACAAGGCGTTCGGAGACTAGCTGTGGGGGATATGACCCCCGGTACCCACAAGACAAGGCATGGGCCGCGCCATCAAAGGTGACCCAGCCCACAAGATCAATGCGTACGCCGCAAGTTATGATTTATTAGATATTATACCAAATAGGATATTCACCTTATAATCCCACGGAGGGATCCCCTAGAGGGCAGATCCAATATCAGATCACAATCTCATACCCAATCAATACAAAATAACAGAGTACAGGACGTAAAGTTTTACGTTACACTGACGGCCTAAACCTGTATAAATCTTGTGTCTTATATCTCTATTACCATCTCGCTCCTGATCTCCCTCACCTCTAAGAACAAATCTACCACCTTAGACTACCCCTGGATGGACTACCGAGCAAATTTTTATCGATATTGGGACAATACACAATACTAGAGTGTGTGCGCGCCAACACCACCAAGAGAAAGTGCCCCTACGTGCAGAATGAGTGTACCTATGGGAAAGATGGAAACAGGCTTAAGAAAAAGAAAAAGGTACAGTTCGCTTAAACTTATACTTATGAGTCTGGCTTATCAGCGAGCAGGGCAAGAAGCAATGACCATAATAGGCACCGGTAGAAGTCATCAAACATGAAAATGTTCTGCAACAATACAATGCGGCACGGAACACTGTTGAAACAGGCCGAAATCAGCCGTGAAAACCAACAGTCCGAGTCCGAGTGGTGGTGCTATATTCTGAGCCTCAAGTCCATGCAGAGAATAACGTGCTGCAGTAGCACAAAATACAGTGCCCAATGTACTCTACTCCATGACATCAGACACGTACACGTACACGCAGGCCTTCTGCTCCCATCACATCACATCAAACCACTCTCTCGACCCTGAAAGGTGGCCCCACCAATCCTCACGCCAGCATCGGACCCACCGTCAGCGACACCACCAGAACCAGCACCGCCGCAGCTGCTCCCGCTGTCCACCCGCCGCGGCCCCGCGCCGCTACGCTCTGCGAAAAAAGGGGGGCCCACAAGCCAGTCAGCCAGAGAGCTGAGTCAAAAGTGCATTGACCACGCAGTTTTACGCACAAGCCGACGAACGGCTACACGTCCCTACTCCCGCGGCGGAAATTATTGGTGCACCTACGGACACTGTTCGGCGGCCTCCGATGCTTTGACCCGACAGACATGCCTCTCGCTGACGCGTGGGGCCCGGTGCGGAAACGGCGCCCGTTCCTCGGCCTCCGCGCCCGCGAGCCGGTGCATGGCTGCCTGCGCCCGGTGGACGGTGGTGGTGGTGGGATCAAATGCGCCCGGTTCGGAACCCCGACGGCTGCGGTCGCGACACGTGTGCAAGCGCGGCGCACCTAGCCTGCCGCTGCCGCTGCTCTAGGAGTACAGTCCTACAGTACGTGGGAGAGAGGTGCAGTGTTCAGTGTGGTCACGTACCATCATGTCGGCGGAGGGGCCGGGGCCGGGGCGAGGCCGGCGCTGGTGGTGGCCGGGGACGCGGCGGCGAGCGGGGCCGCCGCCGCGTGCTTCTTCTTCGTCGGCTTCTTGCTGGGCGCGGGCGCGGCGAGGAGGACGGGCGCCGGGGCCGGAGGCGACGACGACGGCGCGGGGGCCGGGGGAGGGAGCGCCGGCGCGGGGACCGGCGGGGAGGACGCGGCGGCGGGCGGAGGAGCGCTCACGCTCACGACGGGCGCCGGCGCCGTGGCCGCGGGCGGCAATGCGGGCGGCTGGGAGGAACTAATGGGGGCTGGAGTGGGCGGCGTGGGTGGGGACGGGGTGTGGCTGGGCGCTGGGGAGGCGACCGGGGAGGTTAGCTTGCCGCCGGCGTGGGACTGGGACGGGGACGCGGCGGGCGAGGTGGAGATGGGGATGTTGTTCTTGGAGGAGGACGGGCTTGGAGCGTTGGCGGCGGTAGATGAGGAGGATGAGGTGGGGGAATGCGCGGCGGAGCCGGAGCGGGAGACGGACGGCGCGGCGGCCGGTGACTGGGACCAGGCCGCGGTGATGGCGGCGGCGAGGAGGAGCAGCTGGAGTTGGCGGTGAGGGGCCATGGGGGGGACGGGCCGGAGGAACCTGCTCGCCAGCGCTCCGCGGTCTGGTCTGCACTCGGGCTCTGCAGTGTGAGGGAGTGAGGAGTCTGTGAGTGAGAGCAGGGAGAAGAGAGAAGTGTGACTTGTGAGGGGGAAGAAGAGCAGAGAGCGAGGTGAGCTGGTTTCTACTGGCCTTGGCTTCAAGGGAGCATCGTTAAGGCTGTGTGTGGGCATGTGAAAGGACCTGGCTCTGGGTCTCTGATGCCTGAACAAAGGCTGATGTACTGCAACACGATGGAGTATGGACTGCACGAGAGAGAGAGGGCTGTGTGTGCGAGAGAGAAGTGAACATTGCGGAACTTTTTTTTAAATTTTATTGGGCCTGTTCGCTGGTTGGTGCTGGTGCTGGTTTGGGCTGACTGGTGCTGATTTTTTGTGAGAGGAAAACACTGTTGACTGGCTGGTTTGGGCTGGCTGAAACCAACAAGCGAACAGGCTGACTGAGTTTTCTCCGCCACAAACTTCAAGTTCAAGCGGTGTGGAAGAGGATGGAGGAGAAACAAACTTTTGAAAATTGAAAGAGCGTGGTCAGTGAATCTGATTCTCAAATGCATGATGGTGATTAGTACATGATTAGTACAAAGATGACCTAGCTAGTGACTCCTCACAAAGCCTCGAAGAGATTCATCATGCTAATGAGGCTCCCTCTACTTTGACTCTAACCTTTGTCTGTTCTTCCACTCTGTTTTGTCCTCTTTCAGTTTTAAGAGCATCTTTGGTGTTTCTCTTTTAGAAAGAAAAATGGATCTTTGATTTTTCTTAAGTGGCAAGCAATGCCAAGATGCCCACGAGGGGTTTTTTTTTTGGCCGGAAGATGCTCACGAGGTAACAGTGCAAAGAGGAAAAGGCTAGCAACTGCATATCGAAGGCCTTAGTGGGCCCACATAACAGTTGTCCTATCGCTGCCCAGAAAAAGCATCCCTGTGGAACACTTCTTCGCGGAAAAAAGTAGAATTGAACCCAGCAGATTTTCTCCTCCATCTATAAAACCGGAGTTTTCCTTAACCTTTTAAAACCAATTTTTCCCACCCTAGTGGTTTTGACAGCGTTTTTATCTAACGTGGGCTAGTCACGGCACCACCAATGGAGACTAACACTTCTAGTAGTTATGTACAGATAAAGTGATCTACATAGATTAGAAAATATTGAGACTACTATTCACACAATGCAAACTATCACTGCTGTTAGTTTGTACATAAACTTTTTTTTTCTTTCACCATGCCTTACCTTTATCTCATCTCCCTTTTCTTTGTTTTAGCATAGACCACCTTCTCTCCTCAAGCATATGGAGCTTCTGCAAACCACTATGACAAGTGCAGAGCATCTATTTTTTTTATCTAATCCTACATGATCCTTGGGGCCGGCTACAACTAAAAAAGAAGCGTTGGGGAAGGCCTTAGCCATCCTATGCGGCGCCACATCAACCGCCAAACGGGTAAAACAGACTACATTAATTTTCCGGGGTAAATTGGAGCACAAATAATATTTTTTGTAAAAAGTTATCCAGATATTTTTCCTAGAAAACTACGCAATAAAAAATCCTAAAATTCATATAGTCTTAGAAAAATCATGGAATTTTGATTTAGCATGGCAAAAGTATGTAACCACATCATACTTGATTCTATTTAGTATGAATACAAGTGTTACGATACTACTAGTGGATTCACGAGTTTAACACGAATTTAACACGGAATAGTGAGTGGATTTGGGATACATCGAGCCTTAGCTCGTCGATCTCCGGACGCAGCTGGCCGGGTTCCGTGTTCGCCCCCTGCCGCACGCCAGAACGTTGGGCCACCCAGTCTGGGCCATCATACGCTGGGTTGGGCCTCCGAGTTCGCTTGGGCCTTGAGCTCCTTCTTTGATTCTGGGCCTCAGTATATGTAGCAGAAAAAGTCCACGTTACATCCTCAACTTTTGCAAAAGTCTCTTTTTTCTTCCTGAATTTTAAAACAAGGTAAACTACCCCAAAACTTTTAAAACCGTTCGTTTTACCTCCCTGATAGCCTATAGGCGGTTTTTAAATGCGGCTTTGTCTTTTTCTTTTTTATTCATTTCAGCTGAATCTTTGAAAAATCATAGTAAATCACATAAAATTCATAAAATAGAAAATCTAATTTTGTTGGACTCTACATGAGTAAATCTACACAGTGAACATATAATATGGTATGCTTTAATACAATTTTTTTGTAGCTTCATATCTATGTTTTTTATAATTAATTCCTAGCTGCAGTTTCTATGGTTCAATTGTGGTTAAATTTTTATGATGGGCTAATTATTGTATGCTTGAATTATATTAAAAATTTTATACTCATTGGATCATGTATAACTTAGTTTATACAAGTTATACATGATCAATGAGTATGAAAGTTTTACTATAGTTCAAGCATACAATAATTAGCCCATCATAAAAATTTCACCACAATTGAACTATAAAAACTGCAGCTATGAATTAATTATAAAAAAACATAGATCTAAAGCTACAACAAAAAATTTGTACTAAAGTATACCATATTATACATTCATTGTGTAGATCTACTCATGTAGAGTCCAACAATATTGGATTTTCTATTTTTATGATTTTTCTGTAATTTACTGTGATTTTTTAAATATTCAGACAAAAGAAATAAAAAAGAAAATGACAAAACCGTCTTTGAAAACCGTTTATAATTGATCCGGGAGGTAAAATGAACGGTTTTAAAAATTCAGTGAGGTGGTTTACCCGGTTTTAGAGTTCAAGGAGAAAAAACAAACTTTCACGAGGAAGGTAACGTGGACTTTTTCCTTTATAACATCCTTCCCGCCAGCCTCGTTGCTTTCAGCAACATCATCAGGGATGGATGCTGTGACAACAAGTGTCATTTGATCTTGTTAGTGCCACTTGATTATATGTGCTCCTAAGATCACGTTAGTGTAGACAACATGGGGGTGATACCTGTGTTCATATTAAGTAGAATCAACACTACCGGAAACGGCTTATTTGCCAACGGCCGAGAGGTTTGCCGATGGCCAGAGAATAAGCCATCGGCAGACCACAGGATTTGCCGATGGCAAAGCTGAGCCATCGGCAAAGATATTTTGCCGACGGTCCAGACATCAGCAAAGACAGGCCATCGCCAAAGCCGATCTTTGCCGACGGCAAAAAAGCCATCGGCAAACCCGAGCCATCGGCAAATACTAATCTTTGCCGACGGCCGAATACATCGACAACGTCCGACCATCGGCAAAAAATTGGCCCAGGCGACACTCACCGTGACGCCGCGTGCCTTCCTTCTTGATGGCCTTGCCGATCATCTTGCCGTCGGCAAAAGGAAAGGCTATGCCGACGACCACGCCCATCGGCATAGACAGAACCACGTGGCGCGCCTCAGAGCTACCGGGTCCACCGTCTATGCCGATGGTGGCCATCGGCAAACCTACTTAAAAGACGCCTTTTAACATCTTGCGTCGGCATAGTTTGAATTTTTTTTTTTTTTTTCATTTTTTTCTTGGTGCCTTCCTACATCAAATATAACCCAACTTCAAAAGTTGGGACAATTTTGAGTTTTTTAGCTATATTTAGTTAATTATTTACATTTCTTTGCATTTTTTGTATGACTCAAATTTGAGCTGCGGTACATGAAATAATGGGATTTTTGATTCGAAAGATGGTATTCATGATTCTAGGAGTATCTTTGAGTCGTATCCGAGGAGCTTTGGTGAAATGGCGACCATGTTGGCGTCGTAACATGGGAGTTACGTGCGTGGAAAGTATTTTAAATTATATAAAATCCATCCACGAAGTCGAAAATAACAAAACTTGACGAGTTGTGTTGTCATGGCATGTGGAGGCCGTGGTAAAAATTTCAAAACCATATTTGAATCAAAAAACATCTCCCATTATTTCATGTACCGGCAGCTCAAATTTGGAGTCACTTTTGAAAAATGCAAAGAAATGTAAAACCATTAACAAAATATAGCTAAAAAACTCAAAATTGTCCCAACTTTTGAAGTTGGGTTATATTTGATGTGTGCATGGCAGCACCAGAAAAAATGGGCTGAAAAACAAAATTCAAACTTTGCCGACGGGCATGTGAAGGCCGTTTAAAAAGTTTCTGCCGCCGATGGTCGGGCCCGGGTAGCCATCGGCAAGGTGGAGGCCTGGGACGGCCCCCGAGGCCGCCACGTGATGGTTCTTCTGCCGATGGCCATGGCCGTGGCCGTCGACAAACACATTTTTTTAAAAAAAATAAAAGGCAGAGGCCCACCAATTTATCCCAACCCTAACCCCATCCCCATCGCGCCCGACCCTAACCCCATCCGCCCGTCTCTCCATTGCGCCCCGCCACACCACAGCTCCGCCCACACCACAGATCTTCGCCCGGCCCACCAGCAGCTCCTGCTCCCCTTGAATGCCGGCCGGCCACCGTCCCCGCCGCCCCATGCCAGCCCGCCCTCCATGTGGCTCGGCCGGTCGCCGAGGACCACCGCCGCCACGCCTGACCCAGCAAGGCGAGGACCGCCGCCGCCACGCCCGACCGGTGAGGAGCTCGGGGCTCCTCTCCCAGTCGAGCTCCCCCCTCTGTCCCCGCCGAGCTCCCTCTCCCCCCCAACCCAACCGGCCCGCCGTGTCCCAGCCCACCATGGCCCGCCCCATGTGGCTCGACCGGCGGGCGAGGATCACACTGCCGCCACGCCTGGACCGGTGAGGAGCTCCTGGGGCTCTCTCTCCCATGAGCTCCCCCCTCTGTCCCTTGAGCTCCCTCCCCCCAACCCAACCGGCCCACAGGAAGAAGAGGAAGAACAAGGAGGAGAAAGAAAAGGAAGAAGGAACAAGGAGAAAGAGAAAGAGGAAGAAGGAGAAGGGAGGAAGGAGGAAGAAGGAGGAAGAAAAGAAGGAGGAGAAAAGAAGGGAAAAGGAAGAAGAAGAAGGAGAAGGAAGGAAGGAAGGAGGAAGAAGAAGAGGAGGAGGGA